CATCAACTGACGAATGGATAAAGAAGATGTGGTTTATATATACAATGGAATACTACTTGGCAATGAGAAAGAATGAGATATGGCCTTTTGTAACAACGTGGATGGAACTGTAGAGTGTTATGCTAAGTGAAATAAGTCATACAGAGAAAGACAGATACCATATGTTTTCACTCATATGTGGATCCTGAGAAACTCAACAGAAGACCAGGGGTGGGGAGGGGAAGAGGGGAAAAAAGTTACAGAGAGGGAAGGAGGCAAACCATAAGAGACTCTTAAATACTAATAACAAACTGAGGGGTGATGGGGTGGGGAGTGGGTGATGGGCATTGAGGAGGGCACCTGTTGGGATGAGCACTGGGTGTTGTATGGAAACCAATTTGACAATAAATTTCATATAAAAAAATTGAAAAGAAAAGAAAAGAACAGAAAAAGGAAATTTAATAAAATAGGATATGAATAATTTTTTAGCAGAAATTAATTATCTAAGGGTAATGTGTTTAAACAAAGTGCTCCTACTAGGCATCAAATACTGACTGTGAACTTGTCATTAGAGAGTGCCTTTAAATTATTAACAGAAGACTGTTAGGCCATGGCAGGAGAATCACTTATCCCCAGGTGGAACATCTCTAAGGAATAACCTTGGAGATAAAGCCTCATAAATATTGCTGCATTGCCTGATTAGAAAGGAAAGATATTCTGAAGAGCTTTGTGTTTTGGTACTGATTGTCTGCTTCCTGAAGAACTCCACTGAGGGGCTTATCCTTTCCAAAATGGAAAGACGAGTCAGTGTCAAGAGTCCAGGAATGAGCAGGTATGTGTTATTCAATCTTCCTTTCCTGCTGTGATGCTGGGAAGAGCAAAAACCATTGTGAAGTGTATACTTTCCAGCCCTCTCCTGAGGGTCTGGACCTAAGAGTGGTGGAGTCTGAAATATAAATATGGATACATGTAGATATAGAGATGCAGATATAGACATATTCTTGAAAGTCCATTAATCCTTTGAGAAAATAACAGCTAAAATTTGGTCAGTACTGTTCTATGCTCTTTATACATTTTAACTCATTTACTCCTCATTAATCTTATAGAATCCTCATTTTACAGTAGCAGAACCTGAGACTCATGGAGATGAAGTGGCTTGTCCAAGGCCAAGCTATAAGACTATTTGGCTCCAGGACACACTCTTAACCATTACACTACACTTACAGTGTAATTTACAGCAGGGAGAAGTAGAAGTACAGAAAAGATGAATGCCTCGATCCTTCCCTTTGGAGAGAAATCATAAAACATTCACGTATGTTTTAAAAGGTGCTGGACTGAAGTAGTTAAGTGTACAGCTCTGGGGTCAGGCTACAGGGTTCAATCTCTGCACTGCCACTTTCCATTTCAGGGATCTTTGGCAAGTTATTCATAGATTTTGTGTTTTGTCTTTTTTTTGGGGGGGGGTAGGGATTAAATAAGTTAAAACATGCAAAACACTTAGAATAGCATCTGACATTTAGCCAATAAATGTTGGGTAATATTACTCTACAATCCAAACTCTCTTTAAAAAAATGGGGGAAAAAAACCTCTCTTCAAGCTGAACGTTATGAATGGTCTTCAGATAGAAGATAATTATCCAGCATTTAACATGCTTTCATAGTAGGTCAAAAGGGTCACAGATTTTAAGATCCCTTGAAAGGCAAAAGCCAAATAATTAATGGAAGATAAATAGATATCTAGACTGTTAAATGGAATGGTAAACTCATCCTGAGACATAAAGTACACATGAGCTATCTACACTAGCTAACTACCATGATAAAGGAAATCCTTCCTTCTATACATAGTTTCTTTTCTGCCCCTGTAGGGACAGTTTTAATTCCAGGAACCACCCAGCTGACCCAGAGAGACATTCTCTACAGACTTCAATCTTCAAAAGCAAAGTGCATTATCACCGACGAAGTTTTAGCCCCCGCAGTAGATGCTGTTGCATCTAAATGTGAAAATCTGCACTCCAAGCTAATTGTGTCTCAGAAACCCAAAGATGGATGGGGGAACCTCAAGGAAATGATGAAGTGAGTAGCCATAATTGTTGTAGAACAGCTTTCCCAGAGGAAGGCAACACTGAAAAGATATTCAACCCACCAAGTGATCAGAAAAATGAAAAGTAAAATGAGGCAAAGGGAACAACTAGTAATTATGGCTGCACCAACAATGTAAACTCTGAGGCAGGAAAGAGGTTGGAGTGTTTTTTAGAGGTTAGGATCTCCAGGAAGCAGGCCCTGAGATAGAGATTAGTTGTGTAAGAAGTTTATTAAGGAGTTGTCTTGGGGTCAACACCTATGAAGGAAGGGGAGGGATGTGCAATTGGGCAAAGGAAGAAATGTATCTGCCATGCGCTCCCACTGGGACCTATGGGGCATGGATAGCCCCTCAAAGCTATTCCCAGATAAAATAAGAGATCCTGGCCTTTATATACCCATACTGATCAGTAACTGGGTGTGGCCTATCCCTAGGAGGAGAGGTGAGTAACCTTGAGCAAGGCAGCTGTCTTCAGCCAAAGCAATCTCTAAAAGAGAGCTGGCTCCCAGCAGCTGTGGGAAGTAAGTCCTTCATTCCTGCAGCAGGATCTAGGAGGTGTCTCACAGCATCAACCACAGAGCTGTTATCCTCTCCCAGAGAAACAGAGAAACACAGTGAATTCTTCTGTGTAGGCTATATCAGTACCTTGCTGATAACAACACTTCTGGTTATAAATAAGATGGATGCAATTATAAAACTGAGTTACACTGATGTCCATCCCTGCTATGGAATGCTTCCAGGGGTCACTTGACACTATGGCCATGTACTGGTTCTATCTTAGCTTTAAGCTGGCAGCCAGTTCCCTCTAGAATGAACTTCCTACCTTTACTCAAGGATTTGGAAGCATGCTTGCAACTATGGATTTGTTCCTACTGCCTCTAAAATAGCCATCATTTATTGAGTTCTTACCAAAAGCCAAGTACTGTTCTAATTAAAATAATGTTATAATTGCAATAACGGGTAACATTTATATTGCCTTGGTTAGGTGCCAAAAACTGCTCCAAGCGTTCACATATATTAACTCATTAAAATGTCACAATAACCTAAGGAAAGGGTGCTATAGTAATACAGATGAATAAGGTCAAATGCTATGATCTGGCAGAGCTGGGTTTCAAACCCAGGGAGTCTGGCTTCTGAACCCACACTCCTAAAGGCTATGTTTACTGCCCATAGTGGTGAAAGATTGGTATGATAACCCCACCTTAGTTTTCAAAAGCAACTGTATTTACAATGAAGTGATAAATACACTGCTCTAGGTAATATTTTTTTTTTTAAATTTTTTTTTTTCAACATTTATTTATTTTTGGGACAGAGAGAGACAGAGCATGAACGGGGGAGGGGCAGAGAGAGAGGGAGACACAGAATCGGAAACAGGCTCCAGGCTCTGAGCCATCAGCCCAGAGCCTGATGCGGGGCTCGAACTCACAGACCGCGAGATCGTGACCTGGCTGAAGTCGGACGCTTAACCGACTGCGCCACCCAGGCGCCCCTCTAGGTAATATTTTTAAGGAAGAAAATTATGAAATCATAGACTAAGTACCTAGTCTACCTGTTAGGCTTTGAAAACAGCTTCTTGGGAGCCTGGGTGGCTTAGTCATTAAGCATCCAACTCCAGCTCAGGTCATGATCTCACGGTTGGTGAGTTGGAGCCCCACTTCGGGTGAGCCCTGCTTCCCTCTCTCCTCTCTCTCTCCTCCCTCTCTCTCTCTCTGCCCCTCATGGGATTCTCTCTCTCTCTCTCTCTCTCTCTGTCTCTCTCTCTCTGACCCTCTCTCACTTGCTCCCTCTTGAAAGAAAGAGACTCTGACCCTCTCTCACTTGCTCCCTCTTGAAAGAAAGAAAGAAAGAAAGAAAGAAAGAAAGAAAGAAAGAAAGAAAAGGAAAACAGCTTTTCTACAATTCTCGTGGCCTGGATTTTCTAATTCATTCATTCTCAGCCCAGTACTCCCAGATAAAATCTCTGTGTGCAGTGTTTACCTCCTCTTAGCTGCCCTAATGTGGGGCCTGTTAGCAGCCCAGTTATCCTTCAGAACTACAGCTGATCCTTGAACAATGTGGGAATTACCAACCTGCCTTATACTGTTGCCCATGACTTCTATTAACATACTCAATTTTTTAAATGCTTATTTATTTTGAGAGAGAGAGAGAAAGAGCACATGCAAGCCGGGGAGGGGCAGAGAGAGAGGGAAAGAGAGAATCCCAAGCAGACTGCACACTGTCAGTGCAGAGCCTGATGTGGGGCTCGATCTCAAGAACTGTGAGATCATGACCTGAGCTGAAATCAAGAGTCAGATGCTTAACCATTGGACTGAGCCACCCAGGCACTCATATCACTTTTAAAAAAAGAAAAGAAAAGAAAATCATATTTGAGAACATCCACAGTGAAGGGGATGGGGCAGTTCTCACATAGCCATCATTATGAGATCATAGAATCCTCATTATGCTGGTGTTATGATCAAACTCTTGAGTTTTTTTATCTATTTATTTTTTTTAATTTATTTATTTATTTCTGAGAGAGACAGAGAGAGAGCATGAGCAGGGGAGGGGCAGAGAGAGAGGAAGAGAGAGAATCCCAAGCAGGCTCCACACTGTCAACTCAGAGCCCCACATGGGGCTTGATCCCACAAACCATTAGATCACTACCCTAGCAGAAATCAAGAGTCAGACACTTAACCGACTGAGCCATCCAGGCACCCTCTTCAGTTTTTTAAAATGCATCAAGTCTTCTTTTTTGTATAGTAGAAAAGCTATGAAACCAGCCTATAAGTGGGCTTTGATGACAAAATTTAGTTTGATTCCAGAAAGCACCTAAGAAGGTAGAGAAAGAGATGGTTTTTACCTTGGAATTCAACCCAAGTCACTGAGGCCTGACTCATAAGGTGAAGAGGTCCGAGTAGATGGTTTCTCGAATACTTGGCTGTGGTAACAGTTCATGGTGCTGTGTATCATGTGCAGAATCATTGTAGTTCTTCCTTTGTAGACAGGCCAGTGACAACCACACCTGTGTGAAAACAAAACACGATGAGATGATGGCCATTTACTTTACCAGTGGAACAAGTGGAACTCCGAAAATGACCGGACACACCCATAGCAGTTTTGGTTTAGGATTATCTGTAAATGGAAGGTAACTTCACGGAACTGCAGCTTGACATGTCAAAACGGCGGAGGTGATGATTCATTTATTGGTCTTTTAAATTTGTTTTTCCTACATATATCAGGATGATTCCTTGTTTTCCCAGGTTCTGGCTGGATTTGACACCTTCAGATGTGATGTGGAATACCTCAGACACAGGCTGGGCAAAGTCTGCATGGAGCAGCATCTTTTCTCCATGGATCCAGGGAGCATGTGTATTTGCACATTACTTGCCACGTTTTGAGCCAACTTCCATCTTTCAGGTAAGGCAGAGAACAAGAGGTCACCATTTAGAAATGCTTTAGCAGCATTCCTGACAGGACTGATGAATACAGTAGCTTGCAGAAATCAGAGTGAACAACATGATTTAAGGTATTTCACACCTGGTAAGTCATTTATCCTGAAAAGATATACAGGCAAAAGGTGTGAGTGCATTTATGTTAGAATAAACAATGTTTAAGTTGTGCTGTGCCCTAAATAAACATTTAGCAACTTATTAAAGTTGTAGTAAGACTAAGAGTTTACTTCTAAATTGCAGACACTTTCCGAGTTTCCCATCACCGTCTTCTGTTCAGCGCCGACTGCATACCGAATGCTTATACAGAATGATATGACCAGGTAAGAAATGTTGGTAAATAGGCACTTAGTGGGGGTAGGAGAGAGGAAGAGTAAGCCATAAAATAAAGGATCTTTCTGCCTAAAAACAAAGTTCCACACTAGTAGGTACAGAATTTAACAATCTCTTCACCCCCTTCTCCTTCTTGCTTTCATTCTTTAAATCATAATTATTACATCCAGGGCAGGCTCCCCCAAGAAAGGTGAGAAAAGGGAGGGTTTAGTCACAGGTATACCCCTGAGCCCAGAGGTTATGGATAAGAAAGTGTTCAATCTTTTGGATGATGAATGTTACATGAGCTGAGAAAGTAGAGAAATTACTCCAACTTGGAGCCCTGTCCCAGCAAATAGGAAAAAAGGATGAATGTCTTTTACTCTTGATTCCATTTGAAAGGGCACATTGGTAAATATTTTTAAATCATTAAAATTGCTAAAACTTTTTGAATAGGAAATATTTCATATGACATATAATTCAATAGGTATATAAGATTATAGAATGGAGTCTCCCTCCAAACCTTGTCCTCAGTGTCAGTTCTCCTTCTCCCTGAAATCTGTGCTTATACAAACCAATATGCCAGTATTCTTCCCCCATTCTTTTATACACATAAATGGAAACATAGTATGCTCACAGTTCTGCACCTTCCTTTTTTTGCCTAACAGTACATCCTGGAACTGTGTGCTATCCAGTGCTATCCAATATGGTAACCACTAGCCACATGCAATTATTTAAATTTAACTTTAATTAAAAATTCACTTCCAAAGTTGCACTAGCCATGTTTCAAGTGCTCTGTAGCCACATAGGGCTAGGTGATACTGCAGTGGATAGTGCAGATAATAGAACATTTTGATTGTGGCAAAAAATTCTATTGGACAACACTGTCCAGGAACTTCCTTATTTTTTTTTTTCCTTTTACAGCTCTATAGGATTCCACTGCATAAATATTCCACAGTGAATTTAACCATACAATTGGTAAATTCTTAATCACTGATTTAAAATGTTATTATGAGATACCTTCCCTGAGGATGACATAGCTTGCTTGCTTGCTTTTTCTTTTTTCTCTTTCTTTCTTTCTTTCTTTCTTTCTTTCTTTTTTTTTTTTTCAACAAATCACACACTCCCAGAAAATAAGAGGGGAAAAAAATGGATGTCTTGGGAGTCATTTTATGATGTTAGAAGAGTTTGTTCATTTTGTTTGTATTGAAGAGAGGAGTAAGGAAGGAACTAAAACACACTTCATATTGAATTTCATTAGAAATAACACTAATTTTCATTTCTCTCTATTCTTGTCTCCCAAACTTAACTTATTTGTTTTCTGAGAAGCTATAAGTTCAAAAGCTTAAAGCACTGTGTGAGTGCTGGGGAACCAATCAATCCTGAAGTGACTGAACAATGGAGAAACCGAACAGGTCTGGATATCTATGAAGGATATGGACAGACAGAAACGGTATATGACCTCATTGAAAAGAAAGGGACGGACTCGAGTTAGCTGGATAAATAAAAAGTGATTTATATAACTGATAAATTTTAAAAATAAGTGTTTATTATATCCTTACAATTGTTTGAGGGATAGGGCAGTAGAGGAGTGGTTAGAAGAGTAGTTTAAAGAAAGTTGGAGGGAAACCAGTTACCAAAAAAAAAGTTACAACTGTAACAGATACAGTTGTTTAAGTAGCCATTCACTGAAAAAAACCACTATAGACCTGATCAGGGCAAGGGCATTAAAATATATTTTAAATGAAAGAATGCTAGATCAACAGACAGATTTCCCCTTACGAAAGAGCGAACTTTCTTACAGCTGCCTCAAAAATAGAAAATTCTGAGTTCCTTGCTACTTAAAATATTAAGAGTTCACTTAGATAACTCCTTGGCAAGTATACTCTAAAAGGGGTTATTTAAAGAGCTTGTAGACATAAGAAGAAGAAATTCTAGAGGAAGTGAATGAATTCATAACAAAAGTGGTTATTATGTAAGGAAAAGGAGGCATACAATGGAGCAGAAAAGGGAAAGGCTGAAAGAAATTTTTCATAGTGTCTTTTTATAATGCTTCTATTTATAAACCATAAGAATGGTCAAAAATTAATATACCAAAAATAAAATTTACAAATGTATTAAATAGAAAGAGCAGAACAAGTATCATGCTAATATAGGTATGTTTTCATAAATATGGACATTTTAGTAATTATCAATTTATTAAGTGTTATAACTTTACTGTATGTCTTTGTTTAGTGTCTATCTCTACACTCCCTGAGAGCAGAAAATTTGTTTTATATTTGAGTCTGGTTCATCATAAATTTTCGATAATTATTTGTTGAATGAATGCATGTGGGTGAATAAATTAATTTTAAGTTAGTTGTAATGTTACTTTATTCTTTCTTCTTCTTAACTAGGTGCTAATCTGTGGAAATTTTAAGGGAATGAAAATCAAGTCTGGCTCAATGGGAAAGCCATCTCCTGCTTTTGATGTTAAGGTTTGCACATCCCCTTCCAGGAGAATATTTAACAACCTAATCTGTTTACCACCTACCCCTACACTCCTAGTTTTGGTGATGATTTCATGCTACTTCCATGATATCTTAATTTCCACGTATTAGCAATGGATTAGAGATGTTAGTTTAATGGTCTCCATTTTTTTTTTTTTTTTTAGCAAAGCAGTGGCTTGTGCCATGCAGTTCTAAGCATTTTATAAGTACTAATCCATTTGATTCCCAGAAAGAACCTATAAGAGACATACCAGTATAAGAACAATTTTACAATGGCTGAAGGGGAATGAGAGATACAAGCTTCTAGTTATAGAATGAATAAGTTATAAAGATAAAAGATACAGCATAGGGAATATAGTCAATCAATACAATACAATATAGTATTGTAATCATAATGTGTGATGACATATGGTAGCTACATTTGTGAGCACAACATAATATATAAACTTGTCAAATCATTATATTGTAAACCTGAAACTAATATAACATTGTATGTCAACTGTCATTCAATAAAGAATAAAATAAAAAAGAACCATTTTACAGATGAGGCCCAGAGAGGGAAGGAATTCACCAGAAGTCACATAGCTAGTGGCTACTAGTGCTGGGATTCAATTCCAGGCAATCTGGTTCCAATATCTATATTCTTAATCATATCATCACACTGTGCCCTTTCTGATGAAGGAGGTCAAGACCTCCTGAGGGGTCAAGTAGGCCAAAGGAAGTTACAGTTTACAGTGGCTGAAATATTTTTATCTTTCCCTAGTCCTACCAGGCCATTTCCTGGCTTTCTTTAACCATGGCCATTATTACCACCTGATCCCTAGGGAGGATCCTATTCTCCTATCTGCACACTTTTTACAGGGTTAGAAATGTTCTCAGATCAACATACCCAAAGCCAGGTATAGCCAAAGGAACTTACACTAATATATAAGAGAAAACCATAGCATAGCAACAAAAACACAAAATGGATGAGCTTACAGAATGGAGAGCTTAGAACCAAACTAAATGAGGGTTAGTTATGGATTAGATCAATGCTTCCAAAGCTTTTCTGATCATAAGAATCACCTGGATACTTGTTTTAAAACACTAATTCTCAGGCCCCTTCTAGATGAAAATGAAATCTTTGTTTTAAACAAGTGCCCCAGTTCTTATGATTAGGTAAGTCTGAGAAAATTTAGATGAAATTGATTGCTGATGTCACTGTTTATAGAATAAACCAGATGCTGGGTTCTTTCCCTTACTTTAACGTTGCTGAGAACCTTGTTTAAAGATAAGTTTGCCTCAGGGTGCCCGGGTGGCACAGTCAGTTAAGCTTCCAACTTTGGCTCAGGTCATGATCTTGTGGTCTGTGAGTTTGAGCCCTATGCCCAGCTCTGTGCTGACAGCTCAGGGCCTGGAGCCTGCTTCAGATTCTGTGTCTCCCTCTCTGCCTTCTTCTCTCCTTTCACTCTCTCTCTTTCTTTCTCAAAATAAATAAACATAAAAAAAATTTTTTTTAAAGATAGGCTTGCCTGATGGCTCAGATCTGGCTCTACTATTCACTAGCTGAATGTCTTTGGGTAAATTGTTGACGTCTCAGTTTCCTGATTTGTAAAATAGGGACTATGGTGAACGGCTTGGGACTTACTTGGTTGTAGCACTAAAAGTCATACATCCCAGGGACACTCTCCTGCCTTTGTCCTGGGCAAACTGAGATGGTTGGTCGCCCTAATATTGAAACTGATATCATAGGTTTCTTGTGAGGATTAAATGAGATAATATCCCTAAAGAGCATAACAAAGTTCTTGGCACATAATAAAGGTCTAAAAGATAGGTGCCATTACTGTCATTCAGCTCTCCCTTGCATTCCCTTCCTTTGAAAAGCTTTTCTTTTCTTTTTTTCTTTTAATGTTTATTTATTTATTTTGAGAGAGAGAGTGCGAAAGGGAGAAGGGCAGAGAGAGAGGGAGAGAGGGAGGGAGAGACGGGGTGGGGGGAGGGAGAGGCAGAGAGAGAGAGAGAGACAGAGTATCCAAAGCAGGCTCTGCACTGATAGCAGACAGCCTGATGTGGGGCTCGAACCCACAAACCGCAAGATCATGACCTGAGCCAAAGTCAGACACTTAACCAACTGAGCCACCCAGGCACCCCTGAAAAGCTTTTCTAAGAAGAGATGGTCAGGGAGCCCTGGTTACATTCTGTAAACAGGCTTAATAATAGTTCATTGGTTTATAGGATGCCTTAGGTTGGAGAAAGAAATATTGATAGTTGAGCCTTCTCTTGTCTGCATTATATGCAATCAGGTTGGCATTTCACAAAGTTGTGTTCCTTTCTTCCCTCTTAATGACAATTCCCAACATGCGTTGCTATGAAGTTCTCACAGTACAGCTGTACTCACATGAATCCCAACAGCAATGTATCACCACTTCCCCACTAATTAAGCCCTGTGGATTTCTGGAGCAACTATATTTGAATGCACAAAGGATGTGGCCAAGAGGAAAACTGCTCTATCATGCATCCCCACTCAGCATCATCACCTTCATTTCCCCCCCAATTTTTTATTGTAATAAAATACACATAGGAGCGCCTGGGTGGCTCAGTCGGTTGAACGTCTGGCTTTGGCTCAGGTCATGATCTCACGGTTTGTGAGTTCGAGCCCCGCGTCGGGCTCTGTGCTGACAGCTCGGAGCCTGGAGACTGTTTTGGATTCTGTGTCTCTCTCTCTGCTCCTCCCCTGCTCATGCTCTGTCTCTGTCTCTCAAAATAAATAAACATTAAAAAAAATAATAAATTAAAAAAATAAATAATAAAAACACATAAAATTTATCATCTTGACCATTTTAAGTGCATAATTCAGTGGTATTAAATACATTCATAATATTGTGTACCTATTACCACTATCCATCTCCATAACTCTTTTCATCTCGTAAAACTGATTCTATATCCATTAAACAGTAACTTCCCATTCCCCAATGCCCCCAGCCCTGGCAACCATTCTACTTTCTATGACAACTCTATGTTGTGCTTATCCCAACAGGTGCCCTCCTCAATGCCCATCACCCACTTTCCCCTCCCTCCCACCCCCCATCAACCCTCAGTTTTTTCTCAGTTTTTATGACTACTATTTATAAGTGAAATCATAGTGTTCATCTTTTTGTGATTGGCTTATCACACTTAGCATAATGTCCTCAAGTTTCATCCATGTAGCATGTGTCAGCATTGCCTTCCTTTCTAAGGCTGAATAATATTCCACTGGATTGGCTATAACACATTTTGCTTTTCTATTCATCTGTCAATGGGTGCTTGGGTTCTTTCCACATTTTAGCTATTACAAATATCTCTTGAAGAACATGATTTTAAATCTTTTGTGTATATACCCAGAAGTAGAAATGCTAGATCATATGGTAATTCTATTTTTAATTTTTTGAGGAACTGCCATACTGTTTTCTACAGTGCCCATACCATTTTACATTCCCACAACAACGTCCAAAGGTTCCAATCCCTCCATATCCTCACCAACACTTATTTTCTGTTTTTTTGATAGTAGCCATCCTAATGGGTGTGAAGCGGTATCTCCTTGTAATTTTGATTTGCATTTCCCTAATGCAGCTATCTTCATTTTTAACTTTTCCCCAAGAGCTCTTATTACTGCTTTTGTTACCTAGATAAGAGCATCTGCAGTGACATCCTGGAATCTGGGGATATACTCCAACCAGCTGGATATGAGATTCTTGCAACTTCAAAGCTCAAAGCCCATAATTTTCATGATTTTAAGAACACTTGAATAAGGAACATGATTCTCTACAGAAATAGAACATTTTGTCTCTTTCTCATCTATTAAAGAGTAGTCTGTGAGAAGTATTTAGAACTCTTAAAACATCTCCTTTCCATCAGTAATTCCTTGATACCGGAGCCAAATATTCTTTAGATGACTGGGTGGGAATTTATATTTTTTTATTTACAAGAACTTAAAAGTAAGATTTTACATTTAGAATTCCTTTGCCTTTCAAGTTTCTTTTTGGAGACATAGCTCATTTCCATCTGGAAAGTGCCAAGTAAGTATTATACCCTTATTTTCCACACAAGCCATTTCACACAAACCTGGGTTTGAAGGCTCTTGGAGGATATATGTAAAAGTAGAGTGTTCATGTTTAAAAACAGCTAAAAGTTACTTAAGGCAAAATCTGGCACATGAGTTAAGCAATCAACCTGAGAAATGTGCATCTGGATTTTTAAAAAGTGGACTAACTCCCTGAAGAGATTCTACAAAGAAGTGTAATGATGAAAAAGGATAGGATCTGGAGTGTGGTTGTTGAGATTTGAATTCCAGCTCAGTCATGTACTTTGTTGCTTAAACTTTGCACCTCAGTTTCCTCATACGTAAAATGAGCATAGTGATAGTGAACCAGATAGGACTGTTGTAAGGACTAAAGAAAACAATACATGTGGAGTACGCAGAGCTCTAGCATTTATTACTTGGAATGCAGTCAGTGCTTACGAAATGCTAGGCACTTCAGAGAATCAGGAGGACGGGGGAGAAGGTAAGAAAGCAAGACTTTTGACATATCACCAGTGTCTCCACCAGAGAACATTCCCCTTTCCTCGCTTGTAATGGGCTCCTGAAGTAAGGTTTTGTTTGTTCCACAGTTAAATTTTGAAAAACGGGTAATGAAATATTTACTTAAAAGATAATCAAGATATATTGCCAATTGATAAAAGCAGGCTGTAAAACAGTATATATAAAGTGATTCTATTTTTTTCTATGTCTATATTGTCTCAAAAAATATCACCAAAAGTGTGATTATTGGTAGATAGTGAAATTAACATTTTTTATTCTTCTTTCGCGTTTTGCTAACTTGCATTTTAAAATATATTTTGCAGTAAGAATTTAAGTAAAACATATTTCTTCTGGGAATTAAAATATACTTAAAATACAAAACAAAACATGCAAAGTAAAAATTTAACATTTTGGCACATTAAATAAAATATTCCCTTAAATAAATCATTCTATTTTATCCTAGATTTTAGACATAAATGGCAATGTTCTACCTCCGGGAGAAGAAGGAGATATTGGCATTCAGGTCCTACCTAATCGACCACTTGGCCTTTTTGCTCATTACATAGTAAGAGATTTATTTCCTATTTAATTCTCAAAAGGAGAGCCTGGGTGGCTCAGTTATTTAAGCACTGACTCTTGATATGGGCTTAGGTCATGATCCCATGGTTTGTAGGATCGAGTCCCACAACAGGCTCTATGCTGACAGCATGGAGCCTGATTGGGATTCTCTCTCTCCCTTTCTCTGCTCTTCCCCTGCTCTCTCTCTCTCTCTCAAAATGAATAAATAATACAAAAATACATATTTTAAAAAGTGCTTGGTAACTATCCCGATTTGTCACAAAACACACATAGGATAGGTGCTTGGCTTTTTTTTTTTTTTTTTTTTAATTTTTTTCAACGTTTTTTATTTATTTTTGGGACAGAGAGAGACAGAGCATGAACGGGGGAGGGGCAGAGAGAGAGGGAGACACAGAATCGGAAACAGGCTCCAGGCTCTGAGCCATCAGCCCAGAGCCCGACGCGGGGCTCGAACTCCCGGACCGCGAGATCGTGACCTGGCTGAAGTCGGACGCTTAACCGACTGCGCCACCCAGGCGCCCCTAGGTGCTTGGCTTTTTGAGAGACTCATTGTCCTGAATTGTAATCCCTCAGGTAGGAAACTGAAGAAACGCCCAAATGCTTATTCTCCCTGGGCTAGATCACTGCTCCAGGCCCATGAGGGTAAGAGAAGGGAGCCCTAGAAAGACAGCCCTCTTTGTATACACTGATCATCTCCAATAGAAGACAGCACCCAATCATTTTCCTGAAATGTGATTAGTGGTTTCCCTTCTGAACAGCAGTGAGAGGGAAAGAAAGTGGGGCAGTGGGATTAAGTAAATGTCTTTCACTAAAGCCTTTACAGGCTCCCTACTGTTTGCAGACCTATTTTCATGTCTAACTGAAGTATATATATTTTAAAGTTTGCATCAATATAATCAAAAGTCCAGGTTCTACTTGTCAGTGAATTTTACATAATGTAACAATCCTTCATTCTTCCTCCTACCAAGTTGCAGAACCGGTTTTGTTTCTAAAACAAAATACAAAAACAGAAAAACTGCTCTTTGAATTATTAGGTGCTGGTGCTTTCTTCTAACTCTAAGCTTTCACTTCTCACTTTTCCTACCCGTATTAGATATTAACCACTTAGCAAAAGACTTAATTAGCCCATATCTTGGAGCTCTGAACTCTTGCAGAGAGTTTAGTGATCATCATAGACAATTCTCAGGATGGCAGCATGCCTAGTCTTTGTAACTGTAGTTTGCCTCTCTTTGATTGGGCTAGCTCAATGCTGGAAGTGCATCCTTATTTCCTGCACTGGCTTCTCTTCATTCCAAGGCTTCTCAAAGAAACCAAACTTTTTTTTTTCTCCTTCAACACTTAAAAATCCGACCGAACAGAAGAATCACATTCACAGTAATATTAACAAAATGCTACTTGTTTCACAGGATAATCCTACAAAAACAGTTTCAACCCTACGAGGCAATTTCTATATCACTGGGGACCGGGGCTATATGGATGAAGATGGGTATTTCTGGTTTGTCGCAAGATCTGATGATATCATATTATCCTCTGGGTAATTTTCTTTTTCATCTGTGCATATGTCTAAGTTAATTGATCATCAGTGTTCTAGAGTGAACCTGCTGCTCACCTTTATATATTCCTGTCATATGTTTATTTCCCAGTTACAGAATTGGACCATTTGAGGTAGAAAGTGCCCTGATTGAGCATCCTGCAGTTGCAGAGGCAGCTGTTGTCAGCAGCCCAGATCCCATCAGGGGAGAGGTAAAAAAAATGGATTCATCTCCACTTTATAATTTGTTGGCTGTCTAACACATACTTTTCAACAGTTTATGGAAACACAATTAAATGATTCATTCACTAACTTTGCAAGTCACATAGTCATTAGTAAATATGCTAGTCAGGAAAGAATTGCTAAAGATAAGACTGAAAATATATATATAAGGAATTTGAATTCTTTCCATACAGGGATGGTGTGAATGCCAACAACTCAGGTTCACAGTAGGATAGGATGTCAGAGGTCAGCTAGATAGAATCGCGTTATTCCCCAGGTTTGGAAACAACATGGTCCCTTATGTAGTTGAGGAGGATAGGCTGGCATCACATATCAGGGGTGGGAGCAAGGTCAAAGGTAGGAACCGAGGCAGCAATTGGAAGTAGGCTGGGTAGGTAGCCAAGTAGAGAATTCAAAAAAAGCTGTGAATAAGACAGGAGTCCTGAAAGCTCTTCCTTTTTTTTTTTTTTTAAAGTAAATGCCCAATGATAGGCTTGAACTCACGACCCTGAGATCAAGCGTCACATGTTTTACTGACTAAACCAGCCAGGCACCCTTGAAAGCTCATTCTTATTGGGGTTGGTCAAATGGTAGTTTGGGTTTAAAGTTTCCATGCCACTCTTCAGGTCCCCTTTGCCAGGCAAGGCCCCCAATATTCCAGATAGATGAGAGCAGGGAATTGAGCTGGTGATTAAAATTTATTCCTTCACTCTGAACTCCACCAGTAGGATCACACAGCTTTTTGGAATTTGAAGGACATTGGACATAGACTAATGCAATGACAGACATAAATATTCTCTATCTGCACCATCCAATACAATAACCACACATGGCTATACAGCACTTGAGATATGGCTGGTGTGGCTGAGAACATTTTTATTTCATTTTAATTTAAATTTAAACAGCTACATGTGGCTAGTGATTACTATATTAAATAGCACAACTGTAGGCTCTTCTCATAAAAATGCAAAATTTTGCATAGAATTTGAGAGAAATTCTGAAGCCCACTTAAGGATTTTAATTAAAAAAAAAAAAAAAAAAAAAACAGGGGCGCCTGGGTGGCTCAGTCGGTTGAGCGGCCAACTTCGGTTCAGGTCATGATCTCGCGGTCCATGAGTTCGAGCCCCACGTCAGGCTCTGTGCTGACAGCTCAGAGCCTGGAGCCTGTTTCAGATTCTGTGTCTCCCTCTCTCTGACCCTCCCCCGTTCATGCTCTGTCTCACTCTGTCTCAAAAATAAATAAACGTTAAAAAAAAATTAAAAAAAAAACAACAACAAAGAGATCATCTAGGTGGCACAGTAATTAAACATCTGGACTCTTGATTTCAGCTCAGGTAATGATCCCAGCATCATGGGATCAATTCCCACATTGGGCTTCATGCTGAGCATGGCACCTGTTTGAGATTCTCTCTCTCTCTCCCTTTGTCCCTCTCCCCACTCACACACTCTCTCTCTAAAACAAAACAAAACAAAACCCAAAAAACAAAAAACTTGTACTTCTAATACTACTACAACTAATACTTAATATTTCTGATGACTTAGCATGTTCCAGGTATTATAAGCCCTACACAGGGCCTGTATATGTAAGCTTATCTAATTCTCACAACCTCTTTTTTTTTTTTGGAGAAGGAAACTGAGGCACCGAAATGTATCCAAACTTCCCCAAGATTACACAACCAAGTGTGATTCAAACCCAGGCTGTCTGATTTTAAAGTTCATGCTCTTAACCATGTTAGGGTGTTCCTTATTAGTTTACCATCTTATGTAATGATTTATAAAGACTTTTATAAAAATAAAGTAGACCTTATCCAAGGTGTACAAGTCATCAATATGCAAACTAATAATTACAAATATTAGTTCTCAATGTGCATCTGAATTATTCACTTATAGCAAGGATACACTTAATTCATAAAAATGTTGATAAAGCAGAAGAGTAGGTATAAACACAAAAACATTTTATGAAATATCAAAAAATGGATAGGATAAAATTGTATAAATGCGTACATACATGATCCAAAAACTGGGCAGGATTTTCCAGAACACTTCAAAGAAGAGTGAATTTAGAAAAATAGCATTTGTGAGCATAAAGTGATGAAGTCTTCCCTGTCTTCTGTCAATTAGAGAACAACGGTCACTACCACTTTTGCTCGTTTCTCAGGGCCAGGTAATTGGTCAGAGTAGTAGCAAAGTGGCTGTTGGAATCTTCACAGTCTTACATCAACACAAGTGTCTCTGGAATAAAGAGTGTGCAGTCTCAACTATTCCCTTCCACAAGGATATGGCAAACTAAGTGTGAATACTCTTTATAAGGGCCATACTGAGGGTGGGGATCTAGAAAGTAGGCTAGATAGGCTAGGTTGTTACCCAAGAGACTGTACTTAGTACATTGTCAAGTTTCTAAGAGGAAATTTTCTTGAAGGAAATAAAAGATGAGGCAAGAAGACAGCAAAGACAGCTCAGAAACACAAACAGGTCAGAAAATAAAGTTCAAGATGTTTTTAGGTAAGAAGGTTCAAGTTATTGGCAAAGCAGGGGACCCACAGAACAGGAGGTGTGGGACTCAAATGGCTGGCTTAAGAGCACAGAGCTGGGATCAAACCCTATGAAGCCTTCTGCCCCCAATCCCAGGCACTTAGATTCCCAGTTAGAGAAAGTAAACAAGACACACTGAAACATAAAAATGCATAACATATCTTCCTGGTGTTTCAAAATTTTTTTTTTTCAGGTAGTAAAGGCTTTTATTGTTCTGAGCCATGATTACAAGTCACATGATCAAGAACAACTAAAAAAGGAGATTCAGGAACATGTAAAAAAAATTACAGCACCTTATAAATATCCCAGAAAGGTAGGTATTCCAATTATGATGACAATTTGCTTAGTGTTCTGAAAAACTTCAGCTGTTTACTTTTTCCATTTTAATGAATATTCTCCTCAAACATGTCACACCAAATATTCCAAACTGAACTAATGACATGGATAAGATTCAGAATCTTTGAGATTAAAATGAAATTCTTGACATAATTTTCTGGGTCATCTGGCTAACTGGACTTGTAGTAAATACTAAATACCAAGAAAAAACTCCTCAACAATACCTCTGCTGTTTTGGTTGTTACCAAAACCCACCCAGATGGGTACCTTAATTCTTTCACTTAGAGATAATAAAACTGCTATATAATTGGATTTGTCTAAAGATGAAAACTTCTTGGCTAATTTTCTTCCCTTGATACCAACAGGTAGAATTTATTCAAGAGTTGCCAAAGACTATCAGTGGGAAGATAAAAAGAAATGAACTAAGGAAGAAAGAATGGGAAATGATTTAAATCCATTCCATTCTATTATTTATCACAGTATCTATAAAACAAAGACTATACAAATACAAGATTATGGAGAGGTGATTAAAAATATAATAGTATACTTGTAAATTGTTGATTTAAAATGACCTATGGTTGGGGTGTCTGGCTGGCTTAGTCAGTAGAGCATGCAACTCTTGATCTCAGGGTTGTACGTTCGAGCCCCACATTGGATGCAGGGATTCCTTAAAAAAAAAAAAAATCTTTAAATAAATATCTTGTGGTTATAACATCAGAGGCTGAATTTTGAAATAAAATATTTGGTAAATTCCTCTGCATTAGTGTCAATGTTCTCATGACTTTGGTAATATAAAAAGAATACCATCAATTGCTGAGAAATTTTTAAACATGTATTATCCAAACCAAGTTTCTGATGTGTTGGTTTTCAAACTCTAGTTGAGTAATTCTTCTGGTATGTTGATGTACAAATCAGAACAAATCTTCAAGCTTTGAAATAAAACTAAACAACTTATTATAAAAGTTTTTAGGGGTACCTGGATGGCTCAGTCAGTAAGTGTCCAACTCTTGATTTCAGGCTCAGGTCATGATATCACAGTTCATGAGGTTGAGCCCTGCTGTCAGACTCTGTTCTGACAGTGTGGAGCCTGCTTGGGATTCTCTTTCCCTCTCCTCCCTGGACCCACCCTCTCGTGCTCTTTTTCCGTCTCTCAAAATAAATAAAAGTTTTTAGAAAAATAAAAAAATATATCAGATTTCCTAATTCTTTTTTTTTTTTTTTCAACGTTTATTTATTTTTGGGACAGAGAGAGACAGAGCATGAATGGGGGAGGGGCAGAGAGAGAGGGAGACACAGAATCGGAAACAGGCTCCAGGTTCTGAGCCATCAGCCCAGAGCCTGACGCGGGGCTCGAACCCCCTGACCGTGAGATCGTGACCTGGCTGAAGTCGGACGCTCAACCGACTGCGCCACCCAGGCGCCCCTCCTAATTCTTAAAGTACAAGCGTCTACCTGAAAATAGACTAGGGATTTTTAATAGTCACATTTTTATTCAAGTAATTTAAAAACATTTAAATTTATTTCAAGGTCTACCTGTAAAAGAAGGATGTTATATACTATTGTTGTTTATTATATCTAATCTAATAGAATATACAAAATATTTGTGGTTCTTGATAAAAGTATGATAAATTTGGCACGTTAATATATGACAAAAATAAAGGTGTAAGACGATTATCAGAATATTCATGATGTTTGGAAATTCAAGGAACAATCAGGATTCATAGATGAATGAATACAAGATAAGTGTTAGATAACTGATCAAGGAAATTTAAAGTGTGTGAAATCAATTTTTTTCTCATTTTCAGTGTGTGTGCATGCATGTGTGTTTAATAGCCCCAGTGCAGTCTACAGAACTCAGATATGCTAAGTCCCCATGACTTGTAGCCCTATACACTTTTTTCTCTTTATCACACAAAAAGTCACATTAAAGTAAAAACACAGTTTAGTCATAGGGAAGGTTTATCAATTCCTCATTGAAGGTCTGAGTCTCAATGAATTTTTAGTAGAAATATTTACATTTCTGTCACAAATATGGCTTATTTCTGGGGAACTAAAAGTGGGTCCCCCCGGAGAATGAGACAGAATGCTGCTGTTGGCTCTCTCCTTTTGAAGTGTTTGTTCCCACTTAAAATAACCACAACATTTTCTATTTTCTTGGTATTTCCCATTTGGGCAACAAAAGAAGACTTTTCCATGGTTTGGTCCATTATTAGAAACAACAAGTCTCTTAGATCTTCGGCCACACTTGCATAATGGAGGTGTCATTTTTCCACTCTTCCAAGGTCCTTCTAGGTTAACTGTAGAAGCTAAGACAGAGGGGAGGACCTTCTGGGAACAACTTCTCACTGGGAAGCCATCAGATGATGTAGGCTTTTCTTCATGAATAGTGAAGGACTGTTTTTTTGCTGGTGGGAAAGCTGGGAGACTGGATGGATTCCTTTTAGTACTACCTAAAAGGAGGGGGTATTTCCCCAAAACTGAAGGATGAGACATACTGGCATTAATACTGTTGGAGCTACTTGATTTGCATTCAGGTAATTTAAAGTCAGAAGCAACTGAACCTTGAACTTTGGCATCTTTTACATGATAAATAGTAGTATGTGGACTCTTATAAACAATAGACTTAGAGGTCTCAGAGTTTTGAGGAGTTTCTTCTGTGCCTTCCTTTAAAATCATTAATCTTTCTATGGAATTAAGTGAAGTGTCTAAGTTTGAGTCATTAATGGGAGGTATACAATCTATATTTTGCTCAGGCTGAGATGCTGGCAGTAAAGCTACATCCTCCCAATCAGCCAACATAGGTAAACAATCAAGAGCAGAACTCATTTCCATATCAGAAATATGATTAACAGATGTAATGGTAGTTGAAATAAGTACCAATTCTGAACTAACTGTTGAGGACTTAGGTTTGGTACTAAATGCAAGGTGTTCATTTTTTATGTGCTTCTGCATAGGTGTATTCAAGCTGGGAGACTGCAACTGCTCCAGGGAAGTAGAGGGCTTTGTATTAAAAAGAGATAAATAGCCTTTGCCACCATGAAGACCCACTTTTACATTGCTCTTTAGTTGGAACTGATCTTGTCCCTTTATAGGAGAATTCACACCAGCTGACCTCAACTGAACTTTTTCATGAGAATTTACTGTATTTTTAGGCTCTCTATCATATGTGCTCAGACCCCGAATGCTACTGTTGCAGGCCGATGCTTCTTCAACTTGATTCGTATTCAAATTTCTGGCCAAAATTTTGGGATTCTTCTTAGTGGGAACCTATGATTCCACAGAATAGCTTTAGAAACTGTACATTCATAATTTATTTATTATACACTAATATGATTTGACAAAAAAAGAAAAATGTCATCATTCATTGATTTATCAATGATTGCATGCAATGGTATCTGTATTTCCATGAACCTATGATTACTTCTGGAGTTTGATATAACAAAATAAAGAGGCAAGATACCACTAACCTTGTTCAAGGACCTTGTAATTTTCATTAAGCAACCATCCCTGATCATTTTCCAAGCAAGAAGGGCAGTATTCCGAGAATCATCCAACCCTGAGTAAATAGATATCAAACACTGAATTTAGTAGTACCAGCATAAAGAAGTATAGCAAAAATAAGAAATCACAATTTAAATTGGAGCATACTATTTATGATCATCTACTAATTTTAATCATGATAAATTAGACTAGCAAAAAGCTGTGGCAACTGTACCAATAAAAGACAAGATCACACACATTTATAGAGAAGAAGATAAAAATCTATTACAGTTCACAAAACTGTAAGCAACATTCTGTAGGGGCCATGTTTTGTGAGTAATCTAATGATCTTGTTTGTTTTTTTCACTAATTCAATGTATTATCTGGGCATTTGTTAAATCTCCATTTGATTTAGCTAATTTCCATTCTTTTTAGCAACTAACCCACTAGATGGCAGTCTTTGCCCTACAATACTAGTAATTTGAAAGTCAAATAATTTGAATGGTATAGTATAGATTCGGAGCTTTTTTTAGGTTGAAGGATATTCTTTTGTTTTTTTTTTATTTTTTTTTTAATTTTTTTTTTCAACTTTATTTATTTTGGGGACAGAGAGAGACAGAGCATGAACGGGGGAGGGGCAGAGAGAGGGAGACACAGAATCGGAAGCAGGCTCCAGGCTCTGAGCCATCAGCCCAGAGCCTGACGCGGGGCTCGAACTCACGGACCGCGAGATCGTGACCTGGCTGAAGTCGGAGGCTTAACTGACTGCGCCACCCAGGCGCCCCTGAAGGATATTCTTTATTAATGACATCACCAAAAACATGAGATTCATATGAAAGATTTTGTAAAAATAAAATGACTTAGATAATAAAATTATTTTTAATTTATACTAACCAGAATGTTCTCTTCCCAAGAATTCTATTCCCACTTCCTGCAGGGCACCACTTAGTCCTTTTGGTTTTCTTCTATAGAAAATCTAATCAAATAAAAGAAGACATATCCAAAAAAGGTTACTATTAGAAAGTCTATATATTAACCACTTACTTTTCATAATTTTTAGTTCTATTAGATTTGGAATGTGTTTATTATGTTGTGCTGTTTTACAGACTTTAAAAAATGTATATATGTAAAAGTTTCAAAAGAAAACATTTCATTTATAGTAACCTATAGCCATGCGTGGGATGAAGTTTCATCATTTTCCAGTAGAAGAAAAGTGAACATGCCCCCATCTTTGACCCTTACCTTATAAGTTACTCTGAGATCAATCCAAGAATTTAAGAACACAGGTTTTAACAGCTGTTTTCTTTTACACTCATACTCCAGGCAAACCCCCAAGTCCCAGTCTGCATTAAGTATATTAAAATAGAACAAATTCAAAGATGCCAAGCAGTTTTTACTTATGCTATCAACATTTATAAATAAAAGGTTGAAAGATGATATAAAATAAAATACTAAAATTTATGAAAACATAATATAGTGCTCGCTTTGGCAGCATATATACTAGAAAAACATAATATACATAATAGTATACAGTATACCACCAAAACATACTATATTCTATAGTATATGTACCATATATAGTGTATAAGCTATAATGTGTACGCTATAACAATATACTATATAATATAAAATAAAATTTCATTGCTGTTAATATCTAACAATTATTCACTTTACATAATTTACTATTAAGAAATTAAGTTGGTAACTAAATTTCAAAATGATTTCTTAAACACCCCAAAAAACACACTAAATATTTCAGAAAGAAGAATAAGTGTCAAGTTACAAGGCCTACATGGAGAAGGTTATCTGTTTTTAAAATTCTAGGAAAAAACTAATGTAACTGAGAAACCAGACATCTCACAGAAACCTAAAACCAAATATGACTATCAATGCTATGCTATCAATGGCACAGCATTACTATCAATGCCTATTAATGGCAATGCTATATCACAGGCATACAAAACATCTACTT